TAACACTTCATGTCATCTTGATTCTACCTCTCTGTTTATGCAGCCTACATCACAGACTCCTGCTGATGGATATGTGGAGATAGACCCAGTCATTGTATATTTAATTAATCAAACATCTTCATTATCATTGTGCTTTTTATTCCAAGTATATTTTTCTGCTGCAACTTGTTCTTTTTAAATTGAAGATAAACTGACATTTCAAAGATTATTGGATATTATTATTGCCAAGTAAAAACAATTTCAGTACCATGGAAAAGAATTGGATTATCTTTTGTAATATAAAGAATGGAAATGAAGCATTTCCTCATTCTAATAAAATGTAAATGTTCAGATCTGGAAGTTCAACTCATTCAACTCTGTCAAAAATCATTGCTCTCTGTTCAAAACTGTAGCTAAACTGTATTTTTAAATTATCTCTATTCAAGAGACTTACATAATGGAATGCTTTTCAATCAAGTGTGGGAAACAGCTCTCTTGAGGCTCTGTATCAAAAAGTCACTTTTCTGCATGTATTGATTTGCGATTTATTTGTCTAACTTTTGTATCCCTTGCTTTCTCATGTATTTTTATGATGCTGAAGGAAGCTAAGGCACTCATATAAATGGTAATTTAATGTTTATGCAGCAAAACAAAAAGCAAGGCATTATTTAAAATTTTATGTCAATAATAATTCAACACATACATTTTTAATACACATTTTAAACATTATGAGAGAGTTATACAAACCATTTTCCCAGGGCATGAAAACCCACAGCTTAGATGCTATGATGAAAAAGTTTGTCCTCTAATGCTTCCATCTATTGTGCATCTGATGCTAGTTGAATATGAATCAGAATCTTAGCTGATGATTATATGAGATAAAATAAGTTATTCAAGATTGTGCAATTCTCACCTGAAGAATTCAAATACTTACCAGGCCCCCGCTTTTTTTAAGATACAGACTTTGGATCCAACAGCTGATCTTTTCTGCTTTGGACATGATGTTGTAACTATCAGATGGCAGTCCAATCTCTTCTTGAAAGTCTCAAGTGATGGCACTTCCTCAACTTCTGGGGGCAAGCTGTTCCATTGGTTGATTGTTCCCACTGTCAGAAAGTTTCTCCTTATTTCCAGGTTAAATCTCTCCTTGTTCAGAGAAGTTTGAACTAAAGTAGTAGCTGTTCTACTTTTCTTTGTTACCAGTCAGCATCCATTTTCCCATGCCATTTTGACTTGTTCCTTTTCTGTGACACATTTTCTCTTACACATTTTCCTTCTTTCTTAAGATCACTTCTTGTTCCTCCAGAAATTTGAAAATACACCAACTATACCATAGTAAGTTTTAGCTTTCATCTAATAATTCTTGCTTTGTCCTTAATCTGTTTCTTGAGCCTGAGTGTATCATATCTTCATATATAATTATACTTTTCTTGCAATAACTTTCTCCAGAATACAAAGCATTTGAAGGCGAAGCTAGAGGTGAAGTTGCTGAACTTATTGTTTTTATAGAATTCCATGCTTTTATCAAGCTTTGTCTAAGAATATGTCCTTTTAAATTTTTATATTCTTTTCAATCCATATACTAGAAATATCTGGGAGGTCTATTAACTGGCCAACTCCTTCTCATACTGATATTTTGATATTTAGGAATTTTATCTATTGCTATCCAACGCGAACAACTTGCATTGTAATATAATATAAAATTCAGAACAACTCATTCATTGCTATTTTTTGAATCTCATAAAATGTATTCTGCATTTTTTCCACTCCCCAAAAAATCTATTGACTGTTTTTCGCCCATCATGCAAGATTTTTCCTGGAATTGAAATTGGCATAATTTCAAATAAGTAAAAAATAATAATCTTAGGTAATATATTATCAATCACAATTAATCCTAGCTGGTAGAAATTGATTTTTTTTCTATCTTTGAAAATATTTTTATTTTTTTCCCCATAATTTGAGGTAATAATTTAAATATATCTTTGTTACCATCGATCAGGAACAATCTCAAATATTTTACTGGACTTTCTCTGGCATCCCAACCCTTTCTGCACCAAGCTTTTTCCTTGTAGGGTCATTTTTTTAAATTATGTCCATTTATCTATCCTGAAAATTCATCAAAATCTCTAATTATTTTAATCAGTTGTCTTTTTTGCACTCTGCAGTTGCCCAATAGTTAGCTCTACATCATCCATATAATATTTTAATTTCTGCTTTTCTTAACCTCCTTCATCAAATTCAGCTTATTCTCTGTTTTGGAGTTTCTGACATCATCTCTACAATTTCAGCCTATTTGTATATATTGCTCCTGGGTGATTTGTCTTTCCTCGTTTTGTATAATTGTTTTGACTTTATATTGCAATGAAAAAGCTTGTGTAACTTTGTCCCGGCTCAAGTTGTCTTTTTAATATTGTAATTATTTGTGACTGAGCTCTGAGCACCTTCTTTTTCAGACACCAGTACCTATGCTGAATTTCTTTTCCTATTCAAGTTTTCCTGCCATGAAATCTTATATATTTCTGTCTTTCTGTTTCTTCAAAATGAAAAGTTACAATTTTGACATTGTTGTTTGATATCACTCAATTTGCACCTTCTACAATGTGCAAATATACTGTATGGGAAAGGAATAAGCACACACCATTTTGATATGGTACCAGATATTTACCATGTATCCCAGAGTTTCGCAATGTAACGTTTCAGTTTTTAGCAGCATAGGTTGAGCATATATTTAACAGAAAACTGATACTTTGGCATCCATCACTGTGTAGTCTTATATATCTATTCAACACATACCATAAACATATATAAAACATTCTTATAATGGTGACAATAATTTTCCATTTAACCTCAATAGTAGAAGGCAAGGGTTTTTTTAGCAATAAAATTGCAACAAGCAAATAACTTTTACAATCTTAACACATTTTGCCAATATTACATAGCTTGAGTTATAGAAATGCGTTGTCATTTGAATCAGACACACACATTATACATACATGTATTTTTTAAAGCCAGAAAACCCCAAAGCACAATGGATATGCTTCAATGTTGACTGAATATAATAATCAAAAGGTCTTTATGGGAATCCACATTTTCCTTTAACAAACAGCATAGCTCTAAAAACAATTGGCACAATACAGAAACACTTAGAATCAGTCACATGTTCACATTATTATACATTTTGTTTAAATTATGATTAGTCCCACTATAAAAATAATCGGGGGACTCTTTTGTAAATAACTCATACATAGTCAAGTTATCCAAAATATTATTTCAATCAGTATTTATGGAGAAGCTTGTTAAAAATAACTGAACAAGTGTTATAAGAAAGAGCTTTTGACCTCATTGGAATCCTTATTGTTTTGTAACTCTTATAAACTTTACTGTGTTATCTCAAAACTATGTAAAATTACACTTTACAATCATACTAATACTACACAACTAACCATACCAAGCTACAGATGTGGATATGAACTGAGTCTGCATTTAAACTGCAGCTCAGCAAATAATGAATGTGCAAAGCTTGACAGTCAACTTAGAATTACAAAATCCACATGTCCATGAACTTCAGATTCTTCTAATTCTATAGCTCAATTTTCCTATAGTGTTGAATTGACTTTAGCATTAATTTCCAAGTCAGAATTTCTTTGCATTTAGATACATACATCGAGTTACTAAATGCTTCATATTCTTGTTCATAAGTAGAATGCATTTCCCCATCTACTGTACATCACTTTATATGGAGAGCTTGACTATTCCACTGAATTGGCGAGAGAAACTTTTTTTAAATGAGAAACCATGTATGCATTTATAAGATTCAAGAGATAATTAAATTATTTTATTTTCATAGAATTATTTCTGGATCCAGGTAGATAGCCATGGAAATCTGGATCCAAAAGACATGGGACTTAATATTTTCACTGGCTCATTTCACCGGCTCATTTTTGACAAGATCGGTTAATTTTGGTAGCTGATTTTAGTTCAGTCTCTGCTGTTCAGAAACTATTCTAGTCACCTGCCTTTGTTTTATAAGATTCACATTTTTGCTGAAATAATTATGTATTTAATGTACATTCTTATATGAATTACAATTCCTATTCAGGCTGAAGGGATAGAATCTTTGACAAGTTGTAGCTGTTGCCCAATGGATTTAATTACTTTTGCTATGGGGCTTAGGAAGGTGAATATTGCCCCTAATCATCTAAACAACATCTCTCTCTTTAAAATGCTATAATAATATTCATGTCTGATTATACAATTTATAACATTCAAAGAGGAATATGACCCAAAACTATTTCATGCAAATGTTTGTAAAACTATGGTTATAAAGTATGAAATGCTAGTGCTTGATATGAGTTTAATATGTAGATCTCACTACAGTAACTTTAAATCTTTAAATAATCGTATTCTGTTTCAGTATGCGCCTTATAAAAAGACCTTTCCCCTTAACAAGTCACATCTGCCTCCAATTAAAAAAAGGATGAATTCAAATTCAGTCATTGTTCATAACTCAAGCTGACATAAGGAACTTTTTTGCCCTCCAAAAATCAATTTCAATCATTTATCATGGGCTACAGTTATATGCATTCCCTTTGCATCCATTCCACTAGCAGATAATTTTGTAAGGGGAACAGTGCTAACTTAAGTATGTTGCAGATCTATAATTTAACTTGGAAAAAGTCCCAGAAAAATATTTAAAAAGGCATAATATTACTCTGCAAGAATGTGAACCAAATACATTTATGGATCTGTTCAATCACCAATTATTAAGATCCTGTGTTCTGCCATTATCGAGCAGAAGTGCGGGAACAAAAGTCCTGATAACAACACTCAAAATGCTCCTTTGAATAGTTCCAATTACAGAAATGTTCAACATGATGACTGCTTTCTTCATAATCATAAATCATAGAAATGTTGTTTCTTTTGCTTCCAAACACACAAAACAACAACTTTACAAATAAAGACCTGTAGCTAATATACACTCTCTGGCCAAGATCATTATGTTTCAACTACTTCATTTTAAGTTAAGGCAGCTTAGTATTACCCTGCCAATATAATTTTTCTTCAATTTTTTTCTTCTTCCATTGACAGAAAAGCAACAACTTAAAGGTTTTTCTGAATGTTTTGTTACACAAGGCATAACAAATTGGGTTCACAGTACTGTTTACGTAGCACAACCAATAGCCAAGATGCCACAATGTTGGAGGAATGCAATTTGAACAGAATGTGGAAACCAATACCATTATATTGTAGGGGGTCCAGGTAATTATAAAAGCTAGAAGAATGGCACTTAGAGTCTGGGCTGCTTTACGTTCTTTTATAAGAACCATTCTTTTCCTTTTAGTAATTTGATTACTTAGATTAGGATCCATATTTTTGATGGAAGCGTCTTTGGATAAACTGGCAGAACAAGGAGTGATTTTGACTTTTCGGCAACCATTGTTAGTTTCTGAGGCACCACCAGCTTTAACCACCAACCGGAACTTATAAGCTACACATTTATTACTTTTTTGCACCTGACTTTTGGTTGGGGTTAGAAAATATTTTTGGGTGTCATAGTCATTCTCCTTATGTTGGTCTTTGATAAAAGCTTCTTTTTTCTCTTCTTTTTGCTCATCAACCTTCCCTTTTACAGGGGTCTTATAAGCTACCTGAAAGAGTGGATCAGGTGGACATTTTTCCTCTTCTTCCGATGACGCATAGCTGCTGCAAGTGGTCAGCTGCTCTGCCTTCGACCAATCTTGGCAGGTATTTTGAATCTGAGATGCTTTTGCTGTGGCAGAAGTACTTCGACTGGATGAAGACCACGAAGCCTGAGATTGGTCTCTTTTGGTCAAATTTTGTTGCCTGCAGCTAAAGCATGATTTCAGCAGTGTTTTCTGAGGCTTTATTGTTTCAAACTCAGTCACAGAACTGGAGCCCTGAAGGTCAGCTAAATCCTTGGTTCGTTTTTCAGTCTCTTTGTAAATGCGGCAATATAAAATAGTCATCACCGAAACCGGGATATAGAAAGCAGCAATTGCGGTACCAAAGGTAACAATAGGCTCATTCAAAAATTGTATTTGACATTCTCCAGGTGGGACAGTCCGCTCCCCTACAAGGTACTGCCAGCATAAGATTACAGGTGCCCATAGAATGAAAGAAATCAGCCAAGCCAAACCAATCATAATCCCAGCTCTTTTGGGTGTGCGTTTAGCCCTATAGGTTAAAGGCCGTGTAATAGAAAAATATCGGTCAAAACTGATGACTAACAAATTCATTACTGAAGCATTACTAGCTACATAATCGAGTGCTAACCATAAATCACATGCCAAAATTCCAAGAGACCAGTGCCCTATTAATATGTATGATGTATAAAGATTCATAGAAAATATTCCAATTATAAGGTCTGCACAGGCGAGACTGAGTAAATAATAATTGTTCACTGTTTTGAGCTGGCTGTTGACTTTGAATGATATCATTACCAGAACATTTCCCACAATGGTTATCAAACTTAAAATGGCCGTTACAGTAGCGATGGTGATTACTTCCCAAAGACTATGGCCTTCAAGTGGTTTTTGGCTAGAAGTTGAATCATTGGTGATGGTCAAGTTGCTGTGTAACTTGTCTTCCATTCTTTTTTTGTGGTGGATTAACATCAGTATCTTTTAATTTGCTCTAGGTACTTCATCTGTAATTTGAAGATATCCTTTAAATGACAAACAGAAAAAATAATAATCATAAAATGAAGGGCACCTGCCAAACGAATTTAGCATTAGAAAACAATCTACTGTTCTATTTCAATTGTGGATTTCAAAGAAATTTGATGAAATCCACGATTGGATTTAAAGGAAAGATACATGAATCCTATGAAGTAATGCAACTCAACTACCCTTCCAAATCTGCTGTTCAAAATATCACACACTCCCTCTGAACAGCTCTGCTTTCCACCTACTTTTCAGCAGCAATCCAGGTGGAAGTATTATTGGAGGTTTTATTTTCACGCTCATATGATGGGGGAAGGCCTATGAAGTGGCTGAGCTAAGCTTCCAACAGGATACACATCCTCAGTGTCTTGAGCAATGGGTTCAGAGGAACCGTTTGGCTCCTCTGAATGGTTTGCAGAACCTCCATGTAGATATCTCTGCAGTGGTAGCTTTTATTTAATCAAGTCACATTGCCTTGGAATATGTAGGTACCTTTTACAGAACATTGTATGTAACAGAAATTAGAATTCTATTCTAATTAATATAAAATAGAATAAAAATAGTTTTTCAAGCCTTTCTTGTCAAGTAAGTCATTATTCAACAATGTTGACTGGATATGAATAAAGACTATGGCTTTCATTATTAATTCCTGTTTAACAAGGCTTTTCCTCATTGTTACATGAATGTACATTCACTAACAGTGAGGAAAAGCCTTGCTAAACAGGAATTAATAATGAAAGCCATAGTCTTTATTCATATTTATTTATTTCATTTATTTATTTATTTGATTTGTCAATTGTTTACAAGATAAGAAGTATAAGTGTATACATAGTTGTGAATACATGAAATGGGTACATATAAGAAAAATAAAAGAAGAATAAGAGAAACAATAGGACAGGGACGGTAGGCACGTTGGTGCGCTTATGCACGCCCCCTACAGACCTCTTAGGAAAGGGGTGAGGTCAATAGTAGACAGTCTAAGGTTAAAGTTTTTGGGGTTTGGGGAAGAAACTACAGAGTCGGGTAGAGTATTCCAGACATTGACCACTCTATTGCTGAAGTCGTATTTCCTGCAATCAAGTTTGGTGCGGTTAACATTGAGTTTGTATCTATTGTGTGCTCTTGTGTTGTTATGGTTGAAGCTGAAGTATTCATTGACAGGTAGGACATTGCAATGTATGATTTTATATACCATGCTTAAATCAGACCGAAGACGGCGTAATTCAAGGTTTTCTAGTTCTAGAATTTCAAGTCTGGTGGCATAAGGTATTCTACAACGAGTAGAGGAGTGGAGAACTCTTCTTGTGAAATATTTCTGGACTTTCTCAATTGTGCTAATATCAGATACGTAATGTGGGTTCCAGACTGATGAACTGTATTCGAGTATTGGTCTAGCAAATGTTTTGTATGCTCTGGTTAGTAGTGTGATATTACCAGAGAAAAAGCTACGTAGGATTAGGTTAACAACTCTTAATGCCTTTTTGGCTATGTAGTTGCAGTGGGCTCTAGCACTTAGATCATTAGAGATGAGTATTCCAAGGTCCTTTAACATTTAACATATCCAGTCAACATTGTTGAATAATGACTTATTTGACAAGAAAGTCTTCAAAAACCATTTTTATAATGCTTTCTCGCCACAAAAAAATCAAAGGTAATTTATAAACAAAGATTTCAAAATAAAAAAATCATGGTTAAGTTCAACCATGCATGTATCTGCTTCAACCAAACAAACAAAAAGACATTGGGGATATATGCAACAAACCTGGATTGAACTGAACCTGACCAAGATATCTCCTCTGCTCTGACTGCTGTGTATTACAAAAGTTAATCTAGACCAAGGGTGTCAAATTGGCGGTCTGCAGGCCACATCCACCCCAGCTCCGTGAAGGGGAAAAACATCATGCAACGTGATGCCATGAGTTTGACACCTGTGGTCTAGAGTGATGATCTTAAAATGTTAACCACTGTTAAATGTAAATTGTATCCTTTCTTTCCTGATGAAAAATTGATTAAACCCCACCTTATTACTGTACATCTATAACCTTTACATATAAAGCATGTCAGAGTCTGTTAAAAGTGATACACACAGTTTGTATTGTCACATCTAGAAAAGGTAGCTTTAATCTAATCTCCTTGCATATTCATTGGCTCCCAATAAAAATGCTTCTTTGTGCCTACTAAATAATGAAAAAACAATATGGTTTCTGATGGCATATTCATATCCAGCTTAGTGTTATGCAAACAAGTAAGCTAACTGTATCTTATTTTTCAGTTTATTAAATAAAGCTGTTTTTTTTAAAATTGAAAATTAGATTTTAAAAACATTTGAACGTGGTGATCTTTGACATATATCAACAGTCTTTATATTGTTATAATAGCAGAATGTTATCAAACAATATTAACATATATATATATATATATATATATATATATATATATATATATATATATATATATATACACATACATATACATATACATATACATATACATATACATATACATATACATATACATATACATATTTACATTGTAAATCTTTGTATCCGTTTCTATCTTAGACATTTTGTTGCAGTATAAACTCTTTCTTAAATTCTATTTCACATTTTTTGACTTCCTTTCATATTCCTCCAATTATAAAAATTTTTCCATATTTCATAGAATTCTGAAATATCTCGCTCCTTCAGTTCTAACGTTAATCTATGTAACCCAGCGCAATGTACATTTTTTTCTATTATTATTTTGTCATTGGGTATTTCTTTTAATTTCCATGTTTGGGCAATTGATAATCTTGTAGCTGTGATAACGTGAATAATTAGATAAATATCTGCTTTTTTTAGATTCTCATTTGCTATTCGTAATACAAACATTTCTGGTGTATAATTTATTTTTAGGTTTATCATTTCCTCTAACCATTGCCAAATTGTGTGCCAAAATCCTTGCATTTTCTTGCACTCCCACTATATATTATTAATAGGTGCCCTGATCTTTCAAACATTTCCAACATATTGAAGATTGAGAACTATATATTTTAGCTAGTCTGGTGAGTGGGAGATGCCATCTAGAAAACATCTTAAACAGATTTTCTTTATAAGATATGGCTAAAGTAATCTTGTTATTCCTATCCCAAATTTGCTGCCATTGATCCAAATTTACGTTGTAACTGAAATTTCTAGCTTAGGTTAACATTGGTTCTTTTACCTCCTCCTCATACATCTTATAATCTAATATATAGTTATATAATTTCTTTATTTGTTTCTTTCCTTGTCCTAATAGTATTTTATCTAATATTGTATCTTGACAATTTATTCCGCATTCTTTTTTATCCCTTTCATATCTGGATTGTACTTGGAGATATGCCCACCATTCCAATGTTAAGCCCTGCTGATTAAGTTCTTTGTTTTATCCTTCCTTTGTCTGTTAGGATATCTTTGTATGTAATTACCTTTTTTTGGTTATAGAGGTTTGGGTATGATGTAGCTTCCAAGGGGGAAAGCCAGCCTGGAGTTTTCATATAATTTTGCAATCTTATTTTATTCTAAATTGATATTAGAACTTGTCGAACTTTATGTCTTAAAAAATATTGATATGTTGTATGTCTATTAGGCCACAGATATACATGCCAGCCCCATTGTAGATCGTGCCCTTTTAAAAATAAAAGTCTTTTTTTCCTCAAGTTTATCCAATCTTTGTTCTAAGTTAAGGCAGCCGCTTGATAATATAGTTCCCAATCCAAGAAACCTAGTCCCCCTCTTTCCTTTGCACACTGTAAATGTTTTAGTTTGATTCTCGGTCTTTTACCCTGCCACACAAAATTTAATGTTATTTTATTCAGTTCCTTGAAGAATTTTTTCTCTAATTTGATCGGTATATTTTGGAATAGAAATAAAATTTTGGGTAATATGTTCATTTTAATAGCTGAAATTCTGCCAATTAATGATAGTTAATTAATGACTATTCCAATGTTCTAAATCTGTTTTAATTTTTCTCAATAATATTTCATAATTATCCTCCTTAATTGTAGAGCAACGTGCCGAAATGTTAATTCCTAGGTATTTTATTTTTTGTACAAATAAAACTGTTTTATAACAACTTTATTGCATTGTTTTGCTATTTAGCCATTTTATATACAGGCTATAAAGTGCAGACCATGTTGAATTTCAGACTTTATCTGAAGAACAAACATTTAGGAATATTTATATAGTTTTGATTTCCACTTTGCAAGGTCTCCATGTTAGAGCTGCTTGGCAGTGTACCATTGTATGGGGTATTGGTACTAACTTTACTAAAAAGTATCAAAAGCAACTTCAGTAGCACTAGGCAACTGAATCTAATTTCCGTGATAATTTTCCACAATATGCCAACTCAGAGTTAGATTAGGTGTCCTATGGAAAATTAAAATGGAAACTAAACTCAATTCCATTGTACTGCTAACAACTTCCACCTGGATAAAAATGTTTAAAGACATTTTAAAACATTTTTATCATGTTTTAAATTTTCCAGCAGTTGGCCCTACCAGAATACTAGAGCTGCAACTTCTGATCATAAATGATGAAATACTATGCCAGATATGTATCTATATTAACAAAGTGTAATAACAAAATATTATGAACTAAAATAATATATTGAGAGATATATTGATGGATTCCCCAGGCTGGTGTTGCTCAAGCACTTTGAACTAAAACACCCATTATCCACAGCCAACAGAATGAAAGGCATGCAACTTAGAAGGCAGTAGCTCATAACAACCTGAGATGTATTCAGACGTGAATCTCCAGATCTGATATGTGATGACTCAGATAGCATTCTTTCTGCACTTCTCTGCACTGCATATCAGATAGTATGGTCCTATTATACTGCAACATATTTTTGGAACTGAAATAAGTCTTCAAGGAGCCTTTAAAAACAGAAATAGAAATTGGATCTGACAAGCTAATAAAAGAAACTAAAGATGACATTTAGAAAATACTACAAAGAGAGAATAAGGCCAAAAAGGGTGCTAGGCCAGAAGAAATTGAATTATGTTATTGTCAAAAAAGAACAATGTGAAGTGCAACAGGTTATGCAATGAGAGCCAGTTTGATGTAGTGGTTAAAGCATTGGACTAGAAACGGGGAAACTGTGAGTTCTAGTCCAGCTTTAGGCACAAAGTCAGGTGGGTATCCTTGGGCCAGTCACTTTATCTTAGGTTTAAGAAGGAGGAAATGGCAAACCCCTTGTGAAAAAAAAACTTACCAAGAAAACTGCAGAAACTTGTTCAGTCTAAAAAAATCAAACATGGACAGAAAAAAAGATAATACAATAAACTGTTATGATATAACAAAGACTAAAATATTAAGGTTGGTTCAGCTTCAAAACTCTGGTAGGTTAGAGGAAGAGGGGAACTGGGCTGTGCATGCAACTCAACTTGTGTGAGCAGTGGGCTGGCTTGTGTGGGCATGCATGTGCAGCTCGAGCTACATGTATGCTGGCCCATCACTCATGAAAACTGGCCCATCACTCATGCAACATCCAAAGCCATGGCCCGGTAGTGGGCCTTAACCTGAGGGTTGGGGACCCTTGGATTAGAGAAGAGTCCGGAACGGCTCTCTGAACAGTTAAGGGAGAAAGGAGTTTATATCCAACAGTCCATATTGGCCAACTGGAGCTGGATTGAATTCATCTTCTTGTAGTCATCCTGATAGATTGGTTGATGAAACAAAAACGTGTTGGAACCAGAGGGAAAATATTTAACCCTGACCAGGTAGGCACTTTCTCTTGTACCGTGCATGACTTGAAGGTGAAGTTAACATTTTATTTATTTTTATTTTATTTGGTTTGTCAATTGCTTACAAGATAATAGGTATAAGTAAAAACATAGTTATGAATACATGGATACATATAAGAAAAATAAAAGAAACAATAGGACAGGGACAGTAGGCACGTTGGTGCGCTTATACACACCCCCTACAGACCTCTTAGGAAAGGGGTGAGGTCAATAGTAGACAGTCTAAGGTTAAAGTTTTTGGGGTTTGGGGAAGAAACCACAGAGTCAGGTAGAGTATTCCAGACATTGACCACTCTGTTGCTGAAGTTGTATTTCCTGCAATCAAATTTGGTGCAGTTAACCTTGAGTTTGTATCTATTGTGTGATCTTGTGTTTGTTATGGTTGAAGCTGAAGTATTCATTGACAGGTAGGACATTGCAATGTATGATTTTATATACTATACTTCGATCGGACCGAAGGCGGCATAGTTCTAGGTTTTCTAGGTCTAGAATTTCAAGTCTGGTGGCATAAGGTATTCTGCAATGAGTAGAGGAGTGGAGAACTCTTCTTGTGAAATATTTCTGGACTTTCTCAACTGTGTTAATATCAGATATGTAATGTGGGTTCCAGACTGATGAGCTTTATTCGAGTATTGGTCTAGCAAATGTTTTGTATGCTCTAGTTAGTAGTGTAATATTACCAGAGAAAAAGCTACGTAAGATTAGGTTAACAACTCTTAATCCCTTTTTGGCTATGTAGTTACACTGGGCTCTAGCACTTAGATCATTAGAGATGAGTACTTGAAGATCCTTGACAGAGTTTGGATCATCAACAAGGTCTTGACTATTCAGCCTGTATTTTATTTTCTGATTTTTTTTGCCAATATGTAAGACAGAGCATTTATTTATTGAGATTTGAAGTTGCCATTTGTTTGACCATACTGATACATAGTCAAGGTCTTTTTGAAGAGTAGCAGTATTGTCTGTGGTATTGAATAGCTTTACATCGTCAGCGAAGAGAATGCAGTTGCTCTTAATATGACCACAGAGGTCATTTATGTAGAGTATGAAGAGAGTTGGTCCTAGAACACTGCCTTGGGGGACACTACTGTTGACAGGTACAGAATTTGATAGGACGCTCCCAATTTTGACCATTTGTTGTGTGTTTGACAGGAATGTTTCTATTCAGTTATGCAGGTGTACAGAGATACCATAAGATTTTAGTTTTAGGAGTTGTTTGTCGTGTACCACTGAATCAAAGGCTTTACAGAAGTCTATGTAGATTGTGTCTATTGATTTGCCCTGATCGAGTTGCGTAGTCCATATGTTTTTGCAGTGTAAGAGTTGCAGATTGCAGGATAGTTTTTTTCTGAAACTAAATTGTTTATTAGAGAGTAGGTTGTTTGTCTCTAAGTGGAGGATAATGGATTGGTTAATAATTGATTCCATGACTTTGTAGGTGACGCAGCATAAAGAGATTTGTCTGTAATTTTCAACTAGGCTGGGGTCTCCCTTTTTGAAGATGGGGATGACTGTGGCTTGTGACCATAGTTTTGGCAAGGAGCTGGTCTTGAAAGATTTTTCAAAGATTATGCTTAGAGGTTCGGCTATGGCAGTGGATAGCTTTTTAAAGAAGTAGGCACATATTCCATCCGGTCCAATGGATACAGATGGTTTTAGATTGCGTCGTGCTTTTTCAACATTGTCTTCTGTAAAATCGATATGTATTAGATCATTGTAGTTGTCTGTGGTTCGACTAGGAAATACTGGGCATGATCCATTGCTGTTTACAAATACTGAGCCAAAGAATGTGTTAAAAAGGTTGGCTGTAATAGTGTCGTCATTGCAGTCTTTACCATTCGTTCCTGAAATTGTGGCAGAAACAAAAGGTTGCCAGGGTATCCCAAAGGTGCTTTATAAAAGGACTTATTTTTTTCTTTGAATACATTTCGCTTCTCATCCAAGAAGCTTCAATGATGAGAAACTGATGAAAAGCGAAATATGATAAAAATAACAAGAAAGTCCAGTTGCCTTTTCAAAAGTACCTTTGGGACAACCATGACCGGGATGATTGAGAATCTCCATAGATGTTGTCAAGGTATGCTTTGTGTTGTGGTTAAATGCATATGAGAAGGATGTAAAAAGAATTCCTAAGGATGTATAAAACCACAAATCTACATAGGGAAGAGCCAAGAAGGCAGGCTAAATTGTACCATCATAGCCTCATCTCTTTGTGCCTGCATGGTGTCAGTGCTTTGATTTTGCAGTGGTAACTTTAGTTTTTTTCACGCTCTATTAAATATTATGTGTGTTTGTATATTGACAGACCTCTTCCTAGACAACCCTGGATGCTATTATACTTTGAATTGCCTAGAAATTGGTTTTATGGGTATTTCTCTAGAACTTGACTATAGTTTTGCATTGTTGTTATGAAGTACAAAGCACATTGTTTGAATTAATAGACTTGTGATCCCTTCTGGTACATATTAGTTACTTTTCTATCATGTTAGGTATTTAACAGGAAATTACAGGTATTCCTCGACTTACGACCACAATTGAATCCAACATTTCTGTTGTCGGGATATTTGTTAGGTGAGCTTTGCCCCTTTTACGATCTCTCTGGAGACAGTTGTTAAGTGAATCATTGCAGTTGCTGTTACTAACAGGGTTAAGTGAATGTGGCTTCCCCATTGACTTTGCTTGTCAAAAGGTCGCAAAAGTGGATCATGTGACACAGCAATGGTCATAAATACGAACCAGTTGCCAAGCCTCCAAATGTTGATCAAATGATCCCAGGGATACTGCAACGTTCCTAAGTGTGAAAAATGGCCATGTCGCTTTTGTCAGTAGCTTTGTAACTTTGAACAGTCACTAAAGGAATTATTGTAAGTTGAAGACTACATGCATGCTTATAGTTGCACCCACTTATCACCAACTGGAGTTAATAACAACATCTTATGTTTTAAGAAATCGGATAATGCCGACTTAAATATTAGAAATTTAGGCTTGGATCCATTTCATCCGCTTTTTTATATTTCTTCTCTAAGAAAAGCAGCCGAGCGCTCCATCTGCAACAGCCCCACATCGGATTCCTCTTTCGGGCCCGTTTCTCAAGGCTGGCTGGGAAGCGCCTGGCGCGGGTTCAGCGACCCCCCCCCCCCCCTCCATCTTTCGGGCCCGCCTGACGCGGCCTCCAGTTCCTGCAGCGGCCTGTTTTCCGGCGGAGGCGAAGAACCACACGAAGTCGGTGAAGTCCGGCCGCGTCGAGCGCAGCCGCCCGAAGGATTGCAATGCAGCCCGACCGCGGCGGCCGGCCCCGAAGGGGAGGCGGCCGTTCCAACAGGAGACGGCCGGGCGGCAGGGAGAAGCCGGTGGAGAGCGGCGGAGACGACAGTCGAGGAGGCGGAGGACGCGGCAGGCGGGGCGCCCGCGGCAGGGCAGCCGCTTCCGCTCCCTCCGCGCCTCGCGGCTGTGAGTCGGTAAGAGAAACCCGCACCGCCTTTTTCCTCCCCGTGACAAATCCGGGACGGTCACCGGCTACTCCGCTGCCCCTCGGAGAGGAAGGTAGCGGGGCAAACGGCTCCGTCCCGGGAAGGCCCACTTCGTATTCCCGCGGGCTCTGGACTGCTTTTTTTTATTGTTAATATTAATGCTCCTCCCGAGAGAGCGGGGGATCCTGATGCAATCGCTTATCTAGAGCTACGTTAATGCGAGCCTTCTGGAAGGAACATAGAACGGAGAATAATAGTGTTGGAAGGGACCTTGGAGGTCTTCTAGTCTAACCTCTTTCTCGAGCAAGAAACCCTCTCCCTTTCCGGTCAAATGACTGTCCAGTAGAACTTTTGAAGCTTACATCAAAAGAAAGATGTTTCTTTGGGTATATTAGCAGGGTTACTTATATTGCAGCTTCCTCGAGTTCTCTAGATTTTGATTCTTTAATGCGTTAATTGGAAGAGTAATAGGAAGAAAAAGGTTATGCACGGGGATGGATGGATGGATGGGTGGGAACCATGAACCAGGAGAAATTTTGTGTCCCCTGGGACCATTCAGGTAAACAGAACCATATTGGAAGTACACTACATTTTACTACTGCGAAAAGTATAAGTAGGTTTTTATGGAGATTCTCAGTCATCCAGGTCATGGTTATCCCAAAGATGTTTTTTCAAGAGGCAACTGGACTTTCTGGTTTTTCTTTGAAAACGTGTCACTTCTCATCCAAGAAGCTTCTTCAGCTCTTGGATGAGAAGCGAAACATCTTCAAAGAAAAATCAGAAAATCCAGTTGCCTCTTGAAAAAGCACCTTTGGGTGTAAGTAGATTTGGTCCACCTTCCAAATATGAAATCTGTTATTTCCCCCGAAATGAATGAGATACAATAGGGGAAGTGGGGTGTCAAACATTTCTTACTACTAAATTGCAGTCTGTTTATTATATCAAATTGACAGTTCCTGTGTGTGCAGCAGTAGCATGTTCATGTTGTGTGCATCTGGGATGAATTTCTGGTGTACTGACATACAGTAACCAATTACAATATGTTTTTATAATATTTTTATTAAGGATTACACATGTAAAACTAATACAAACCAAAAAAGTTAAAAAAAATAAGAAACACAAAAAGAAACAAAAGTATAGTTAACATTAACAACTTACAGTACAACCAACCATTTCTATATAAACAAATCTTTAAAGCCTCATTACCCCATTTTAAATTAGCAAAAGTCCATTATCGTAAATAATGACACACTATTATAAGCTATATCTAATAAACATACTTTAAATTCTTCCTTTTACATTTATATCTCATTTTCTGTTTAAACAAATCTTCCTGTCTCTTCTCTTCAAGTAAGGAAAACTTTTGTAGCATCATCATTCAGTTCTAGTCTACATAAATCTATGAAATATTACCCAAATAACAATTACCTTGATCAAATAAATCAATTTTGTATTCTTTCCCCTTTCTCACAAGAATATTTAGTGCTCTCTGTATTCTCTCTCTGTATTCTTTTTATGCTCTGTCTTTTCTCACAAAATCGTTGGCAATTTTCAGAAATCCCGTTTGTAAATCCAGTATAAACAATTTATCAATGTCACACTTCATATTCGCGTTGTCTCTTCTCACAGAATCATTTGTAACAAATCCCTTTGTTAAATCTAATATAAAAAGGTTATTCATATCACTCTTCTGGTTTATTATTTCTCTTTTTTAAATGTTAAGACATGGTTTCATTTGTATATCCAACAGTGCATCTTTTTCTGTATAAACTATTTCATGTTTTTCATTTCTCTTATAGATGATGGTTTTTAAATTCACATTTAAAATCAATTCAGTTTTATTCAGTAGAACTTGTTCTTTTTCCATGACACCATCTGATTTATCTATAATAGCATATATTTTTAAAATAATTTCTAAGACCAATAGTTATAAATCTTGTTCAACAGATCCATTGATGTATTCATTTCCTTCTGGCGTTCCCTAGTGACCAACCTTCAAAGTTTTCTTTTTCAAGATGTAAATAGTTTCCCACAGAAATAATTCTTATAACCAATTTTAAATAATTCAAGTCCACCTGGACCCTTAATCCACCTAAAACTTTGTGAAATCAATACTTTAATCAACCTTTTGATTTATATTCCAAATTATATATATTTTTAATAAAATCTTACATTTGTATTTAAAATTTCTCAAAGGATTGAAGAAAAACTCACAGAATATAATAAAACTTGCATTTCTGAAAATTCATAGTCTTTAAAAAAAATCAAGTGATTTAAGAAGTGAGATTTGAGTGAACCTTGAATCTGTAAAGGCTACCTTGTTGGCCTTGAGCTTGGTGAAATCTCACCACTTCCAACTGTATGCAAGCCGATCACAAAAACCTAGGTTCCTGCAGTCTACTCACAAACACAAACAGCTTTTTGAACTACACACACACAGATGATCTCAAGTTCTCTCCTTTCGCAAATCAGATTTCAGGGTCTCCAGGGTTCCATGGGATGTAAGTACACTATTTTCCCACCAAAGTCGCCCCCCCCCCCCCCCCCCATTTGTTTTGTTGTTCCCCCCCCCCCTCTTTTTTTATTTAGGTTTAATTACACTTCTGGTGCCATCATGTTTAAAAACAGAAGACTTTCAAGAATTTCAAATCAAATCATCTTTTTGGGGGGGGGTTGTGGTGGAGGTTAAAGGATTCTTTCATGGAATCAGACTACTAACAGGTGTTATCTGTACACACAAACTTTAGCCTAAAAGAATGATGGCCCCCCAAGTATTGTGCTGCCTTATGACACATAGTGGTTGCATCAGTGCAGAGATGTTTGTCTGATACTTCAGGTTGGCCCAAGAACATATAAAATCTTTCCAAGCAGATCATGTAAAATAACAAGTGAAATCACAATGAAGATACATTTTTGCTGACAGGATATCGTGTTATAATATGTGCCCAGCAAAGTAACCCCAGTTTAACTGTATGGCATGGCAATGTAATAAAGAGGCATGTGGTATAGCAACAACAGTGCATTTAAAAAATGTATATGGTTTTAATGCTAATATACATCTGCTACAGCAGCATGCTTACAATCAGTACAGTAGCGTAATAGCAAAATAATCTGGAAGTTTGTGCAGTGATTTCAGACTTCAGTTAAATTCAGGCTGGGTAATAAATGAAAGCTTATTTTTTCCTTACATCTAATTCATTAGCTGGTTAGTAAATTATGCTTCACATAGCTCCAACTCTGTAAATGACATGACTTTGTTCACCTCTGTAAAATTACTAGGGTTTTTTAAATGTTAGCTATCAAGAAAGAAACAAACAGTTGCCTTGCTGCACACATCAAAGCCATTTATTGAAAGTATCTTAAGCAATGGCTAACTGGATGTTTTTGTGAGATAAACTACAAATGCCATCCTTGCTTCATTTTTCTCCCCCTGATACTTGTTTCCATATTGCCTCTGAAAATTTGGGTCCCATGCAGCTGTCAAGGATAACAGTTAATAGATTTTTTAAAATTGAAGTAACTAATCTAAAACAACAACATGACGTTTCAGTAGATTTGAACAGCATTACAAAACAGCAGGAGCCTTACAAAGGAACACTATGGCCTTATTTATTAAAAAGAGAAATGGTATGTAAATATATTATATAAATGTTAAATGTCATTGGATTTCACCACAGAGGAGCAACTGCAGAGGGTCTAGCTTTGTTTATAAAATTCTTGTGAAGTTGGAGGAGATATATATTTCTTCCTTTAACCTGTAGGAGACTGATCTCATTTATCTCATATATTTGATACTTTTCTTTTGAACTGTGGTGACATTAAACACAGATAGTCCTGTATTCATAACCATTGTTTAGCAACTATTCAAAATTACAATGGCACTGAAAAAATGTGCCTTTCGACTGGTCCTCGTACTTACGACCATCATAACATCCCTGTGGTCATCCCAAAGGTGCTTTTTCAAGAAGCAGTTGGACTTTGGGACAACCATGACCTGCGTGACTGAGAATCTCCATAGATATCCCTGTGATCAGATGATCAAAATTTAAGCATTTGGTGATCAATGTGTTTACAATGGTTGCACTGCCCCAGGGTCCTGTGGCAGCCCTCACACTTTGGAACACTTTGTTCCCACATAAATGTCCCTCTTTCATGGTTTTCCGATCTTTATAGTTAGTTGGATTTTACTGAGACTTCAATCCCAATTAAGTTTATTAGCATCCATATTGGGGGAGGATCTATTTAATTTAATATGCTATTAGTGAATTGATTACTACTTTTAATTTGTATGTTTTGTGAGTGTTGTTGGTTTTACCTGCCCAGAAGATTTTGACATTGGGCGAGCAATAAAAACCTTTATAAATTTCAAATGATCTAAAATAACTTAATTATTACCATCAACACTATCAAATAGTTTGAAATAGCTGTCATCTTTCAATTTAGAACTAAGGCATTGCTAATTAATTTTGATAGTGAATAAAGACATTTTGATTTCAGATTATTTGCTCAGCAAACACAAAGATTTTCTGGTGATCCCTCATGATTAACATTGGTAACAGATATAAAAAGGATCTTCTTTTTCCAGTAAGCAAAAATTTAACAAAGAGAGGAGACATAACTGCTTGGAAAGCCATAGAACAAGGGTGTCAAATTTACATCTTCACAGCAGCATCACATGACATATTGGGACTTTTTTCCCCTTTGCTAAATTGGGCATGGGCATGGCCAGTGTGTGACTATACATCTTTAATGTATAGAAGAGAATCAGTTTCACTATATAATAGTCAGTTTTGTAATTGTTAGAACACCAGGCTAGAAACCAGGAGACCAAAAGTTCTAATCCTGTCTTAAGTATGAAGCCAGCTGGGTGAACTTGAGTTAGTCACTCTCTCTCTCAATCCCCTAGGAAGAAAGCAATGACAGACCACTTCTGAAATCTTGCCAAGAAATTACAGAGTTTTGCCCAGGCAATTATCAGAAGACACACG